CTCCAAGCGCCGATGATTTCAGAGTTTCCCTCGATAAGGGGCTGGGCAGGAGCCAGCTGAGTCACACAGCACGCCAGGGACGGATCGCCGCCGGATTACCGGCGATCTGAGTCCGAGGAGGAATGAGCATCCCTCCTGCTCCAGGCTGGGAGGCGATGGCAGCGTGGACATGGCCTGTCCTGCACCAGCTGGCACCTCCCGGGAGACTCCTGGGCACCGACACTGGGGCAGCCCGACCTGCAGAGCACACTTAGGGGGGTTTGCCAAGAGCTACCCCCACTCTGGGCTCCTCTGCAAGGATTTGGAGGGTCTGGCTTTGAGCTTCCACCTCAAAGGGTCCCCCGATGCTCTGCAAGTCACCAGTTCATCCTGTGATGGAACAGGAACAGATTGTGTCCCTTGTTCTCCATCCTCACAGCTACAAGGGTTAGTAACATTAAAAAACTTCTTGTTTTAAACATTCCCAGACTCTTCAAAATCAGGCTTGGCTGGGGGGAACAGGATATAAAGGAGAGAGATCAGACTGAGAGAGCACTTCTGGGCTGTACTTATATTTATAGACTTCATCTCAGGCTGCTCTGCTTGGTCTGACCACTTGGTCTTATCATCACTTGAACAACTCATGACCACACATTCACCTGCGTGGGGAATTCGGTGAGAAGAAAGGACGAGGGGCAGAGAGGCTGTGTTTGAATGTGCCCCAGGAGAAATCAGCCAGCACAGGCCAGTGTGGACAATCCACCATCCCCAGAACAGAAACAGCAAGGTTCCAGAAGCTTTCTCATGCACACGTGTCAGAACTTCAGACAGAAGCTTCCAGTGTTTGGAAGATTTGTTAATGCTGAGTAAGGAAAAAGAACTGCTGCCTCTTGAACTTATCCAGTAGTTCCAAAGCTGCTGCATTTTTGTTCTCAGTACCTGTAAATGGTGCTGATTGTTCACCAGATTTTTTTTCTACGAACCCACAGTTCTCCAAACTTCTGTGTTCCTGCCAGGCAGTGCAGCACAGCTCTGCACACCACAGCCCCCACAGCAGCACCTGCTCCTCTGTCCCTGGAGAACGGCCCAACCTGGCACTGCAGGCCCTCCCTGCAGCCCAGATCCGTGGCTGGGCAGCCAGGGATCAGTGCCAGAGCCACGCTGTGTGGGCAGGAGGATGCAGCGTGGCCAGGATGTGCCACAGGTGTCTGCGCTGCAGCAGAACCGAGCGGGCACTCCACTGTCACTGTCACTCCACAGAGCCAGGCTGGCACCCAGCAGGACAGAAGCCACCTGTGAAAAACTGGGATCCCACATCCCTAGTTACCAGCGTGCATTAGGAAATAAAATATTCCAACAATACCTCAAGAAAAGCTGAGTCTTCATACAGTGACTCAAGAGGAAACTCTTAGGTCAGCAGCAGTGCTGCTGTGAGCCATGGGCTGTGAGACACACAGAATATGGATAACACCCACATCCTCCCAGGGAAGCAGCCAGAAAAGGCAGTAGAAGAAGGATGAAAAGCTCCCTGCATGCCTCATGTGCAGCACAAGAAAAAATATCCTTGAACATGCGAAAACAACTTCACCTCTTGTCCCGGCCCCTTGTTCTGCTGTACGCAGGCAAGTCCTCAGGAAGCTTATCTGGGCTGGAAAAAGCCATCACAAAATACTGCACATTGGTTTGTTTAATGTGCTCAAGCCTGGTCCAGAGCCCTCCCACCAGCCCCCAGGCTGGCAGGGACAGGGCGGGCTTGGTGCCTGTGCCAGCCACCCCTGCCCACATTCCTGCCCCAGGCTTCCTAAAACAAACCAAGCCCTGGGCACACCTGGGCACAGATGGAGCAGTGTCAGCAGCAGAAGCCAGGGGTTCCCAGGGGAAGGCTGGGGAGCTCAGGACTGCAGCAGGGAAGGAGGAAGGGACAAGGAACCAGGCCTGGGGCCACCACAGCACGGCCAAACCATCCTGTGCCCAGCCTGGTGCCTCAGCCACCGGTAAAGCAAAGCAAACCCAACATCTCTGCCCAGCCAAAGAACTGCTCCAGGGGGAACAAAACCCAGCAAATGCATCCCTGAGCCCTGGGACACAGAGTGGGATCTGTCTCACAGCTGGTAAAGGGGCAGCTGGCCCCTCGTCTCTCCTGCCTGCACTGAGGATACGGCTCTGGCACTGGGGATGAGTTGGCTTTTGGGAGGGCTTTTGTTCTTTTTTCTGCTATTGTGTTTTAGTCTCTGGTTAAAGCACGTCTGGTTTAGATTTGCACCAACTGGGGCCCTAGTTCTGTGCTCAGAGCTTGCAGCCCAGGAGCAGGAGCTGTTGGCTGCAGAGACCCTCTGCCCACCTGTGCTGAGGATGCTCCCAGGGAGAGCTGGGGTCTGGCTATGGGTGTGATGTCTTTTGAGACAGAGCTGGGAAGTCAGGACACAATTTTAGAAATTACCAACAGTAACTGGTGCCCTTAGTGGCTGAAATTCCCAGTGAGGATGAGGAAGACCAGCAAGGAGCTGACAGGTACAAGTGATCACATTATTGTGGGAGGAGAGTGATGTATTTTCCAGCAGGTCATTTCCCCCCTGCTCCACACTGTCTCTTGGCTAAGCTGTCTTTGTGGGACAGACTCTGTCACTGCAGCACCTCAACACCCAGCTGTGCCTTGCAGCAAAGCTGCTGCTTGCCTGGAGCCTCTCCTGGTGTGGGACTGACTCCTTCTTCTTCCTCTTTTTCCAGAGGAGCTTTAGGGTTGTTTAGACACAGCCCCCAGGATCTGGCTGTAACATACTGCAGGAACAGATTCCAGCCATTGTCCCCACAGCCTTCCCATGAACCAGGACATGGGGTTCTGGAGAACTGGGCAGACAGGACACTCTGGGTGGCTCCAATCCCATTAAAATAACCTGTTCCAATGCTATGCTGCTTCCCACGCTGCACAGCATGAAACCCCCAGGCACCACATCCAACAACAGCACAGAAACCTGCCCTGAACAGGTGTGCCATGCTGGGGGACACAGCAGTTCCCTGAGGGGACACTCCAGTTCCCACACACAGCTCTGTGGGACCTGCAGAGAGGATGACGATGGTGGGACCTTCCCTGGGTGTCCAAGGAACCCCATTTGTGGGGGAAAGCTCACACAGTCCCTACACATTCCTTTATCCTGTTATCTTTCAGAATGAAGTGCTCACAATACCAGGGGAGGCTGGGAACTGCCAGCACAGTCCCAGGCACTCTGCAGAGCTCCATGCTGGACAGAAATCAAGTGCAAAACCACATACACGACATTTGCATGAGAACTCACAGCTCCTCGAGCTTCAAAGGACAATTTTCACCATCACAGCACTCACAGGTCCTAATGAGAAAAGCCTCCCTCTGACATTTCTCCAGCTCTATTTGATATTTAATTGGGAGAGAAGATCAAAGACCAGGGGAAATAGGTGGTTTTGCATTATCATACACACAGCAGAGCACAGTGAGCAGGAGAGATTAAAGAAACCCACACTGAAGCACAGAAGGGAACTGCTGTAAAGCAGCCATTCTTACAGCCACAGTGATGCCATGGAGTCACAACTTCTGACACCCCAGTGGCCTGAGCGTGTGCCCTGAGCGAGGCTCCCCTGTCACACCACACTGGCTGTGGCGAGCTCTGGGCATGCACAGGCTGCTGCTGGAGCCAAATCCCCAGTGCCCACATCAGGTCCTGATCCTGGCCAGCCCACAGGGATGGACACCCACATGAAAGGACAGACACCCCCCAGTCCTTCTCCCTTCCTGACCAGGGACAGGCCACGGTGGTTTCAGCACTGCCAGTACAACGTGAGGGACCAGCATCGTCACTTGGCACTGCCAGTGGCTCTCCATCCTCCTGGCACGAAAAACAAGGGACACAGCCAACTTTACAACAAAAATAATTTCCATTTCAGATTCAAAGTATTATTTTCTATTATTGGCTTCACACCCAAGACTGTTACAAATGAGTATTATTCTCTACTTTAGTCAGTTTAATTCCCCACTTGGCAATACCAAATACTTTGTTTCCTTATGATGTTCCATGCAGTTGTGACTATTCAGCTGTTGGGGAGGTGTCAGCCAGCAAGAGAAATTACCACACTCAAAGGCAGCACAGGTAGGGCTGTGACTGCAGGATGACCCTCCCCAGGATATGGTGGTCCCTGGAAGAGCTTCACCCCTGGAATTTTATTTGTTCCAGCTGGTGACATATCAGTTGGGTGGAGGGAATGGAACCAATTTCTCTCAATCCATGAAAGGCCAAGGGAGTTAAAAGCCCCCTAAAGTGCCCCCTCATTCAGGTAACCTGGCACTTCCAGGGATGGGGCAGCTACAGCTTCTCTGGGCAACCTCTGCCAGGGCCTCACCACCCTCACAGGGAAGAATTTCTCCCCGTTATCCATCTAACTCTGCTCTCTTTCAATTTGAAGCCATTCCCCATTGTCCTGTCACTCCATCCCTTGTCCAAAGTCCCTCTCCACCCTTCTTGTAGGCCCCTTCAGGTACTTCACCCTCTTTCCTCATTGGATCTCACTCTCCTAAAGAGACCACCACCACTTCTGCATCCCAGCAGCTCAGGGCACCTCCACCCCATCCCGTCAAGGGGCACAGGATTGTCAGCCATGGCTGGTCAGGGTGAGGCCATGGACAGTGAGTAGCCCAGATTCCCACCCACAGCTCCACATGGATAGGATTCAGAGATAAATCTATTTTTTTTTAAGTTATCTGTTAACTAAACACAGAGAGCTGATGGAAGCCCAGGCAGGACTGGCCCCAGCACCACCCTGGCAGCCTGCTGGATCAGCTACAAAAACACCCTAGAGCATTTCAGGCAAGAAATCCTCAGCCCTGGGGGTTCTCAGTGCTGTCTGGGTGTGCTCTGCTTTCTTCTGCTTCTGCCCTTCCTCCTTGGCCAGTCTCCCTGGGCTGAGTCTGCTGACCCAGCGAAATCCCTCACATCCCTGGGCACTACAAACACCGAGAAGGGAAATGGTTTTGAACAAAGTGATGAAGAAAAGCATTTCCATTAGCAAGCAAGTTTGTTTTAATCCCTCTGATTTCCATTTTGTTGGGTTGTTTTGGTTTTTTTTTTTTTGCCCTGGATTGTGCAGAGATTTGGGTTTTTGTACCTACGTTAGGTCTCACAGCCCTGTGACGTCGGCAGTTTCAGTCACACCAGCTTTTGTCTCTGCTGCTTCCAGATGGGCAAACACGGGCTATTCCAGCCACGGCCTCGATAACAAGGAAGCTCTGAATTATTCTGAACAAAAGGGCAGCAGCTAAACCTATTAACACCAACTGAAACCAACCAGCTGGCAGGAAAACCGTGTGTGACCAGCGTGGATTGTCTGTGTCCCTCCACTGCCCCCATGGATGCTCTGCTGGCCTGGGCCTGGATTCTACTGCATCGGTAACGGCAGAGAATCGCGGAATCATTTGGATCGGAAAAGACCTTTCAGATCATGGAGTCCAGGAAGGCGTGGGAGATGACAGGGAAGGTGTGTACAGAGGTGTATCCACAGCTGTGGGGAGGGAAAACAAATCTAAGCAGTCAGAAGGTCAAACACGTGGGACTCGGTGGTTTCAGGTGACACAACCTGGCCCCGGTGCTCTGCTGATCCATCTGTCAGCACTTCTGAACAGGCGATTCCCGCAAAGCCAGCACTGAAATCGACATTTCACTGGGGAAAATGCTCGCCGTGATTTAAAGAATGACAGAACACCGACAACAAAAGGACTTAGAGCAGGGCGCTGCAGGGCCCCTCTGATGCCCGCAGTGGTCCCCAAAGGGACGAGATGGTCCCCAGGGTCCCACCGGTGACCCCGCCGCGCTGCCCCGCGCCCGGGAGATGCAGAATAACGGAGCAGCGTCCCCGAGCGGGGATCACCGTCCCCAAACCAGCGGACACATCCCCGGGAAGGCTCGGCCGGTCCCGCCGCCGCTGTCAACCCAGCTAGACGGGTCACCCGGCCTGTCCCCGCGTGGGG